TAAGTGACCAAAAATTACATAGTAATGTATCATCAGGATTTTTTTGTCATGATCATCAGCCATCAATGTAATTTTACAAAAGTTAAAAATTTGGAACTTTTATTAGAGGCATTCACATTTACCACAGACAGCAGCATTTCATTTGCCTTCCTGTCTGCTCAGGTTTTTTCCCAGAGCCATGTACCACATTAAGATTGAGATGAGTAGGAGACATGCCAAGGAACACTGGCGTGCCTCCTGAGAACCAGCTAACAGCCTTAGCCACAGAGGCATTCTCAGAAAGAATCCAGGTAGACATGAGGCACTGCAGTTAAGTCCCCTTAAAGCTCCCTGCCCGCTCATCTTATTCAGTTGGCTCAGGAATACATGTACCCAAGTTTAAAGAGCACTGTTTATATCAAACACTCCCAGGCATATTTGCCTAGTTACTTCCTCAGGATAAATTCCTAAGCAGTAGAATGATAGCTGAAAAAAGTACACACCTTCTGGCAATGACACCAGTGACGCCAAAATGGATCATTGACCATCCTAGAGAGCCCCTGACTGCCTGTCCCCCAGACCCTCACTTCACGGGAATAGCCTTTTTGTCCATCAGCTTGTATTCTCCATTGAAGTCTCCTGTTTTTCACATGTTCTCATCTGTATTCATGTTCCTGTCATTGTATGTTTTAATTAGGTAATTCGTCTTTGTTTATAGCCCTTTCCACATGGAAATCCATTCGTGCTTTGTCATATGTGTTCTATCCTTCACCCTGATCACTCCTATTATTCCTTCAGCCTCATTTTTTATTTGATTTGCTCTATAGGCTGTTGGTTGCTTGTTGGTTTTAGTAGTTTCATCTAGCCAACTTTTAGGTGATTTCAAGTCAGGCTTATAGAGCTATAAATTTCATGTTCTTCCCCCCCAGATTACATACAAGTTCATCCATGTTTTATTTCTAGTGGTTTTAGTATTTTTACATGCACATTGTTTTTTAAGATTTTATTTATTCAGGAGAGACACACAGAGAGGCAGAGACACAGGCAAAGGGAGAAGCAGGCTCCCTGCAGGGAGCCCGATGTGGGACTTGATCCCAGGACTCCAGGATCACACCCGGAGCCAAAGGCAGATGCTCAACCCCTGAGCCATCCAGGTGCCCCTACATGCACATTTTTTATATGAAATTTCTTCAGGTATGATGAGATTTGTTTTTTGTTTGTTTGTTTTTTTGTTTTTTACATATGGGATGTAGTAATAAGACTATTAGTACTCTTCTTAGAAAAAAGTGGTCTCCTAACATTTTGGGGAAAATATAAAGATACAAATATAACTCATCTACCAGAGAATTGACCTTATTTTATTTCACATTTTCGATCTTTTTTCAATAAAAGATCATTAAGATGGTCGAAGTACCCTTTGACTACCATCCCAGACCCACTCCATTCTTCATGTCCCCTTCTACCCCAGAGGCATCAGTTATTAAGAGTTCAGATGTTCTCCAAGTTTAAACTTATGTATGTATCCTTTAACATCTATGGCCTTGGTGAATTTTTTAATTTAAATGGTGTATACTGTATAATAATGTTTTGTACTCTCCTTTTCCATATCAATTTAATGAAGTGATTTTGAAATTTATATATATTGCTGTATATAGTGTGAGTTTTATTTTCTTTCCAGTATTCCATGTATGAATATAGGATGTATTATCCTTTACCTAGCACGTGAGCATTTGGATTGCATTTGGGTTCTTGCCATTATAAACAGTGCTGTAGTGAACATTCTTGTCTGAGTCTCCTTCAGCAAGTATGAGATATTCTGTATAGCTTGTGTATCTAGAGAGCAGACTGTTAAGTCATAGCCTATGTGCATTTTCACCTTAGTTAAATATTATCAGGTTATTAGTTGAAATAATTGCCACTCCCACCAGCAGTGTTTATTTTCACAAATCTAATGGGTGAAAATCTTTTGGTGTTGTTCTAATGTATATTTTCTTGACTGGTGATGCTATTTATTAGCCAATTAGAGTTATTCTTCTTAAATTCTCTGTTCCTATCATTGCCCCTTTTTATATGTTTGTTGACCAATTGGAGTTCTGTGAAATCCCTGTTCCTATCGTTTGCCTATTTTCCTGTTACTTTATTATTTCCTTATTAATTTGTTAAATGTTCTTCATTTATTCTGAATACTGCTCCTTTACATACATTCCAGATATCTTCCTCCAGTTTATTTTGTTTTTCAACTTGTGTCTGTTGCCACTCCAAAGTTTTAAATTTTGAGATAATCATTGATGGATTTTTCCATGGTTAGTTTTCATGTTCATGTAGCTCAATGATTTTAAGGTCATCTTTAAGAAAATATTCCCTGAGAGATGCCTGGGTAGCTCAATGGTTGAGCATCTGCCTTCAGCTCAGGGTGTGATCCCGGGGTCCCATATCAGGCTCCCCGTGGGGAGTCTGCTTCTCCCTCTGCCTATGTCTCTGCCTCTCTATGTCTCTCATGAATAAATACATAAAATCTTTAAAAAAAAAATTCTTCCCTAAAAAAAAAAAAAAAAATTCTTCCCTGAGTTTCATAAACATATCCATCTATAATATCTTCTAATAGTTCTAAAATTTTATTTTTTCTGTTTGGATCTTTAACCCATCTGGATTGTGTGTAAAGTATGAGGTATAGTAAGCTAAATTTGTTGTCCCTTGAATGAAAAGTCAACCTCACTTTGGGCAATTCAGAATATCAAAGATTTGTTGTCTATAGACCAGTCAATGCTCTAGAGTTAAATAACACAGGAGAGTGCTTTGCTTCTTAGTGATATCACTCATTTTTCACTGTGAGTTAACTGTCTGGATGCTCTGCTTTGAAAAGTTTGCTTCTGGAGGGCATAAGTTTCAATTTGCATACTTAATGTTTGCTTTAGTCAATGTAGATAAGCAAAATGAATAAAATAAAATTTATTTATGCTTCATTCTGGAGCATAATTACTATTTAGGTTTGGCAAATAAAGTCTTCCCATGTTTTCACATCAATGTACTAATAACAGCTAACATTTATTGAGTACTTTCCTATGTGCCAGGTACTGTTCAGTTGTTTTACCTGTATCAATTTATTTAATCTTCAGAATAGCTCCAAGCAGGTAGGTATAATGGCCCACATTTTTTTTTAAAGATTTTATTTATTTATTCATGAGAGAGACGGGGGCGGGGGGGCACAGGCAGAGGGAGAAGCAGGCTTCATGCAGGGAGCACGACCTGGGACTCGATCCCGGGTCCCCGGGTCTCCAGGATCACGCCCTGGGCCGAAGGCAGCGCTAAACCGCTGAGCCACCTGGGCTTCCCTAATGGCCCACATTTTGCAGATAAGGAAAATGAGGCACCAAACATTTGATTGATGGGTTTTTTGTTTGGTTTTAATTTTTAGTGGGTTTTGTGTGTGTGTGTGTGTTTTTTTAAGTAGGCTCCATGCCTAGTGTGAAGCCCAATGCAGGACTTAACTCACAACCCTGAGATCAAGACCTAAACCGAAATCAAGAGTGAGGCACTTAACCAACTGAGCCACCCAGGCATCCCTTTAATTTTTAGTTTAGTTTTGTTTTGTTTTATTTATTTATGATAGTCACACACAGAGAGAGAGAGAGGCAGAGACACAGGCAGAGGGAGAAGCAGGCTCCATGCACCGGGAGCCCAATGTGGGATTCGATCCCGGGTCTCCAGGATCGTGCCCTGGGCCAAAGGCAGGCGCCAAACTGCTGCGCCACCCAGGGATCCCCTAATTTTTAGTTTTTATGAAAATACTATTCATGTGGTTTTATAACCTTTTGACATTATCATCCGTCTTTGCAAACCTAGTATTCCATTATGTCCATCATATATTCATTCAGTCATATCACAAGTTTTGGACACATAAGTTATTGGCATACTTTTATAAGATTTTTATGATTATTCAGTTAGCAAAATTCCAACCCACCTCTCTTGTCCTTCTGATCTTTCAATTTGGTAGTCAAAAGTTGTTTTAATATGCATTTCTTTGATTACTCACTGATACTTAATGTTTTTTATATATACTCATATGCTTTTTCCCTTTTCCATATATTGCTTTTTATCTCCCCAGCTATATATTAGTGTTCCTCTTTCCCCTGTTGACTTGCTTGAGTACTGAGCATAGCAAGCCTTTCTCATAGGTGAAGGTGGTATGCTTAGGAAACCTCCTGACCCCAAAATTATATAAATATTCGCTACTCCTTATATTCTGATGCTCTTATATTTAATTCGGTAATTCACTTGGAATTGGGATGGAGAGGAAGGATATGTTGTGGGAAAGAAAACTCTCCCCTCCTCCCAAAATGACTTGACATGGTACCAGCTATTGAACAATCCATACTTCACCTCATTGGTTACAAATGCAACGTTTGTTATATACTCCTTTCTTAAATGTAATCACTTAAGAATTTCTGTTTTTCTTGTTTCATTGATCTATTTGCTTACACTCCAGAACAAAACTTATTAACTCTTTTGTAGTATGGTTTTAATTAGTAATCCACATTTCTGTCCTTTACCTGTAAATACAATAAATTTCCTTTTTTTTCTAAGTCATTGCTAGAATGTCACCACTCATGGGTTCATATCTGCAAAGTAATGATGCAAGATATTTCTTTCTAACCAAAGAATTTGTTGCAATCTGTTCTTTGTGGTTGTAAATGAAGGCACTGCTATGCAAAGTGGAGGTTTGAAAAGTCCACCTGGCCCTCTGCACCAACATGGAAGTAGTGAACATGCTAGTGTATTAGAATGATGTCACTCTAGCAACTTGCTTGCATTTAGAAAGAATTTTGACTAGGTTTGTGTTTAATAGATCATGTTCCATACATACCTTTTTTATATCTAGTCTGCTTACTCAATTCACAATAAGTGACCAATCCCAGTGGGAAAAGTTTCTGTAAATAATTAATAAGTAGTAATTTTATGGCTTTTTGATAAAGTAAGGCTTGTTTTATTTATGTTGGGTTTTGTTTTTTCCCCCCCTCTAGGTAGCCTTTCCAGTAAATATATGACTCAGGGAAAAGCCTCAGCGAAGAGGACCCAGCAGGAATCATGAGGGAAGGAAAAAATGCAGCACTCTAAATGGCCACTCAGGCGTTCCCATTCACTTTGAAATTAGGTTCATTTCACAGGACACAGCAGCTTAGATCAGGCTTCAACTTAACATTTAAGGGAAATGTCAGATTTTTTTAAACTTAATGAAATTGTTAATGAGGAAAAAAAATTAATATAGTCTCACCTACCACAAATCCCCATAGATGTAAGATTTTAAGAGAAAGCCATGATGTATTTATTTAAGCCAGGTTTTTTTTTTTTAAGCCAGATTTAAAAAAAAAAAAAATGGGTAACTGTGGGCCAGTATTCAGTGAATACAATTTCATGGTTTTTAATTCTTTAAAAGCACACTAAAAGTGATGTGCTGATAAACCCTGAGTAAATTAACCCTTTTTTTCACCTATAAATCCCTTTTTTGTTTCGAAGAGGGGAAATTATATTTATTGTTGTTTACTGAATCCTTGTGTGAAAGCATATCAAATATGTGTGAACTGCTACTACTGTATTTACGATTTACAAACCTTATTTTATTGGTATTTGTAGAAGTGACAATGAGAACTTGAGTACCTATTTATGCGAGCCTTCTGTGAGTCAGCAGCGCCACTGAGGGACTCTGGGGTTTTTTCCCTCTCCGATTTTAAGAAAGTTGACATAGAATTACTATGCTCATAAAAATGAAGTAAGGAAAACAAGTAGTCCTGCTTGCTGCTAAAAACATTTTCAAAGGAAAAATGACAAAAGAGAAGTGCTTTTTACTTTTTATGATACTCAGAAATTAGAGTGGAGTACTTTTAAAAATCCCTGAGGATTAAAGAGGCCATCTCCACCAATCACAAGTTTGGTTGGTGTCCTTTTCCGTCTGACTGGAACCCTCCTGGAACTGTTTCTATAACTTCACAAGCCCTCCAGAAGTAGTATGTGGTCAGAACTATGCCTCGGTTTATTTATCATTTTGAAATAAAATCAAAATTTCAACCTGTAATTTTATCCACATTACTTTCTAGCGAGAGTCCTAAATTTCATAAGGAAACCAGATGGGAGTGAGTACAGATCTGCTCCTCTTTATCTCTTGCTCCCTATACTTGTGCTCAAGCAAATCTACTGTTTGTTGACCCCACTGTGTGCCAACCACTGGGAATGCCCACAGGAGAGGCACAGACTTGGCAGGATGAAGACAGCGAAGGATGGGGAGGGTGTTTGCTGGGCAAGCATTCCCAGTTAGGAGAGTCCTTCCTTTCACCCACTTACAGACATGCTCCAGTTAAAGAAGAATCCTATCAAAATTACCTACAGAATTTGGGAAGTTGTGGTAGAAAAGACTAGTTCCTTACTCATTTTGAATGAACCCAAAGTCCAGAATTAATCTCGTGAATTATGTACCCTGGGCAGAAGCTTGCTTTTCTGATTTCACCTGCCTTCAGCATGAAAATGAGCTTGACTTGGCACACAATTCTTGTCACACTTTCTTTGGAAAGCCTATTTATTAATGCTGTCTTCTGGCATACTAGTAGAAATCGGAGGCCAGCCTAATTTTTGTTCCTTTGTAGGTTTTATTTTTCTGGTTGGGTGCTTCAGTGTTTATTTATCCCTATAAGTTTTATGTTAGTCACTTTTGTCTAAAACAAAAAGCGAATCCCATGTATCTCCCTAGTCCAGTTTGGTTTTTTTGGTGGTTGGTTTTTTTCAACTTGGGAAAGTATGTTCTTAATTTTTTTTCTCAGAAAACCTTTTTCCTTTTTCAGTATTTCTTTATTATTCTTTTCCTTCATGCCAGGAAAACTTAAATTTAATCTCTACATGACTGGCCGGATTTGGTGTTCATTCTGCTGTTTGCTCTCACATGAATTTTGTCATTTCACTTCTAATCATCCTCACTTAACTCAGCCACCTTCCCTTTTCCTCTCATTCAAGTTTATTATCTTCCTTTTCATGGAAACCATGAAGAATGTTTAAAAGCTTCCTACATTTTATTCTCATTCTTGTGGTAGATTTCAGTCCCTCACACTGGCCCAATGGGACAGTGACCAGTATTTGCCAGGCCTGGAGAATGGATGGCGCCAGTCACAGTCCCTTCCCCAGCTAGGGGACAGGTGCATCTGCTCCATGCTGAGGCCTGCTCCCAGGGCATAGTTATCATTCGAATGCAGCTGGCCTGTCCCTCCACAAATTTCACAAACGCTCCACTAGCATGATTTCCTTTCTTCTTTCTCTCGAGTAAACAAGAAAATGAAATCTATTTTTACAGCCCCAGTCCACACTTTCTAATCCCTTGCTCAGTGGGTACTATTATCAACAATCTGCACACAGAGATGTTACTAAAATGTTCTGACATCACTTCAGTTTACTTTTCATTTTCAAATGTGTTTCACAAATGATTCTATTTAAAATTAAAAAAAAAAAAGTTTCCTAAGTGGGGAAAAAAAAAAAATCCTGGGTAGATAGGTCGATAGAGTTCATAGCAAAAAGAAAAAAAAAATTGTGGAAACCAGTCAATTCAACAAAGTCCCATAAAACTGTAAAGATGTGCTCAGTATTTTTTTCTTCAAAAGCAGGTATGTTTAGACAACAGTCAAGAATTTAGCATGCTGGGGATCCCTGGGTGGCGCAGCGGTTTAGCGCCTGCCTTTGGCCCAGGGTGCGATCCTGGAGACCTGGGATCGAATCCCACATCGGGCTCCCGGTGCATGGAGCCTGCTTCTCCCTCTGCCTATGTCTCTGCCTCTCTCTCTCTCTCTCTCTCTCTCTCTCTCACTGTGTGCCTATCATAAATAAATAAAATAAAATAAATTAAAAAAAAAAAGAATTTAGCATGCTTCCCTGGGTGGAATTCTAGACTTAATTAGGGTCTGGGTCTGCCGGTTTTCCAGCTGAGAGTGTGACAGTCCCCCCTAACATCATGGCAGTTCAATTTCCTTGCCTATAAAATAGAAGTCACACCTGCCCTTTCACAGAGAAGTGAGGCCTTAATAGGAAAAACACTTTTTGAAATGTCTAAAACTCTTGAAACTAAGGCCCAAAGTGCAGCGTTGAACATTTCCCCATATAAAGTTTTTAACCTATTGGTGGAAATCTAAAAGTGGTTGCCAACTCCATCTATAGTTACCATACCCTCCTCATGACACCCCAGGACAGCTGCTGCCCTGAGATAAGGGAGCCCACATATTTCTTAATATAGTCTTGAAAACCTTCTTTTAATGCCAGTTTATCTGAGGAAGCTGCAGCAGTTCAAATAACATTAGGTATGCCTGACCCACTAACAAGTAGATTATGTGCCTTACCACTCACATGCAAAACAGCCAACCAAGTTAAAAACTGAGTAGTGTGTCTTAAATAGATGAAAGATTTAAACATACATGGGGATCCTGAATCCAAATTTAGTACTAGATTTTTAAAATCTTTTTCTAATGCACTATCCTAAAAGGCCAGAGTTTATGCATCATTTTTAAACTAGCCATCCTACTTAAACTAGCTCCTGCCTACTCAGCCTAAAATTGTGAGGCTACTATGAGACAGTGTGCCCAAGGGTGCTTTTGAAACCTATAAAATGCTACACAACTACCTTACGGTATTTCAACAAGAATGATACATGGCATCTTTTTTTTTTTAACATTTTATTAACACATTTTATTTTTTAGAGCAGTTTTTGGTTCACAACAAAATTGAATGGAGAGTGCAGAGTTTGAATATACCCGTCTACCCCCCCCCCCCCGCGCCGGCCCATTTGAGCCCAAATCCTCCACCATCGACAGCCTGCACCAGTGCGGGGTTATTTGTTACAAGTGAGGAACCTACGTGGACACAACATTATCACCCAAAGTCCATTGTTTACATTGGGATGCATTCTTGGTCTGATATGTTCTATGGGTGTGGCCAAAAGTATAACGGCATGCATATCCACCATTGTATCAGTTTCACAATAGATGACCTCTTTAAATATCCACGAAAAACTAGCAACGTTTATTGAGTTGCTGGTACACCCTTCTAAGGGCCTTTCATTTCATCTGTGCCAAATCACCCAGCTCGTCAGATGCGGCCAAGACACTCCCAACATATTACCATCTCCTATCCTCACCGTTTGCTAACAAACGGTGAGGCAAAGAGGGCCATTCCCTTACCGTCACGGAGATAGAACTACTTAAGGGAATTTTGAATCATCCAATCCTGTAGGCTTCAGGGGGGTGAAAGCTAAACTGGGCTCTAAAAACACGCTTCACTGGTTAGTTCTTTCCACACTGAAACACTGAGCAAGACGCTATCCTCCCCAGCACCACCCCCGCCGCAGCTCCTTTCCCCCTACAAGCGCGGCCACGAGAAAAGCCACCTCTGTCCTCCTGTCCTCCTGTCCTCCTGTCCCCTCCCGAGTCCTGTCTAGATCTCTCCTGCGTTCCTGGGCTCTCCACTTACCAGGCTTCCTCCGTGGACCTGGTGTAATGCAGAATTAAGAGGCAGAAGCCCTCGCGCGGCCCCAAGGTCGCACAAACAACAGGTGTCCACCAAGCTTATTCAGTGGTTCCCGCCCGAGTGCTGCAGAGCGGCCCAATCACACCCTCGGACTGGGCTGGGTTCCAAAGCCAGCGGCCCCTAGAAGCGGAAGTTACGGGAGCACCATCCTCCAATAGCCCCTGCAGTACGGCGCTGGGGGAGGCGGTGGCTGGGCCGCCGGCTTCCCGACTCCGCCGTGATTCCGTGCTCGGAAGACAAACGTGCGTCCCTAGGCCTCGGAGAGCACAGCTCTGGCGCTCGGCGTCCTTCAGCAGTGACGCCGCACCTTGCCCAGGGGCAGGCCTCCACGAGCCCAAAGCCCACTCCCCCCGCCGCGCGGAGGCCCACCCGGCGGAGACTACCTTGCCCGTCGCCCCCCCACTCCCCGCCCCCCGGCCCGTGCGGCCCCCACAGTCACGTGCCCAGTGCCCGCGGCCCAGGGCCGCGCCCCGCCCTCCGCCTGTCACTCACGCGGCCCGCCCAATGGCGGCGGCGGGGCGGGCCCGCGCGGGGCGGGACTTGCGGCGCCGTGCGCCGGAGCCTGTGGCGTCAATGCGGCCGCCGTGTCCATGGAGAGAGGCTGAGGTGGCCGAGCTCCGGTCCGAGGTACCCGGGCGCCGGGACAGCGAAGATGTCGGCTTCGTTAGTCCGGGCCACTGTCCGGGCTGTGAGCAAGAGGAAGCTGCAGCCCACCCGGGCCGCCCTCACCCTGGTGAGTGGCCGGGGCGCGCGGCCGGACGGGTGACATTGGTTCACCTCGGCCCCCGCGAGGAGGTCACGGCGGCAGGGCGCCCGGCCCGCTCCGCGGCCGCCGCCTCGCCGCCCTGCTCTCCTCTCCCCGGCTTGCAGAGATAAACAAGCCCGGGCGGGGCCGCTCCGCGGGAGCCGGGCGCCCGGGGAACTACGTTTCCCAACAGGCCGCGCGCCGCCGCGTGCGTGGGGTGGGGTGGGGGCGCCGCGTGTGCGTGAGTCCCCGGCCGGCGAGGCGGCCGCCGCGAACCCTGGGGCGCCGGGGTTGGGGGCCGGGCCCCTCCCTCGGGGTGCGACGGGAGAGAGAGCGCAGCTTCCTCAGAGCCCACCCCTCACGGAGATCAAGGCTGTGGCGCACAAAGGCTTCCTTCCTGGGGTCGGGGAGGGGAGGCTTTTTGAAACCCCCGCTGCCCCTCCGGCGGGCCTCGGCCGTGGTCGGCTCTCACAAAGGGCCGAGAAGGATAAAAATCTCTACGCCGAGTGAGCCTGGGACGTTCTCTAGGTGAAAGGTCGGGCACACGGGGAGGGCCCGAGTCCGCACCGCAGACGGGATCCCCGGTGCGCCGTGCAGTTGTTTTTCTCGCTTTAACACGAGGAAAGCTTCACGTAACGTGAAATTGACCACCTCAAAACGTCCCATTCCGTGGCATTTAAGTACATTCACAGTGCTGCGCGGCCATCACCTTTATCTAATCTCAAAACATTTCACCCCAAGAAAACTCAGCATCTCTTAGGCAGGAGATGCTGCTTGTTTTTGCCATCTTGAAAGAGTTGGGATTTCATGGGGAAGCTTATGATCAGCTCAACATTCTTGGTTAAGGAGAAGCCTTTGTGCAAGTATTGAGCACCCAGAGAGTGGGAGAGTACAGTGAATCACGGATCAGTGCTGTGAGAAAGCCGTTGTCAGAAAATTAGTTGTAGCAAAATAGAGGGAAGTGGTAATCAGGTGGGTGGGAGAATTCGTTTTTATAATGGGTCGGTGTTCTCAGCCTGTGCAGAGGTTATCCTCGTTATTCTGAATTACTATTTTATGTGCCACCGAGCCTGCTTTCAAGTCTGGAATATAACATCAGATCTTGGAATTCTCCAAGGTCTTGAAATCACAAGAACTAAAGGGCACGAATCATACTTTGTGTCTTGCGGTCTCAGTTAAAAAAAAAAAAAAAGAATGTTCGGAACTGAAAAGAATTCTACCACTGGTGATGGTAGAGCCAGGAAGAGGAGGTGCAGAGATACTTTTTCTGCCTTTGTCCAACATTTAGCATGTTACCTTCTTTTTTTTTTAATTTTTATTTATTTATGATAGTTACACAGAGAGAGAGAGAGAGAGGCAGAGACACAGGCAGAGGGAGAAGCAGGCTCCATGCACCGGGAGCCCGACATGGGATTCGATCCTGGATCTCCAGGATCGCGCCCTGGGCCAAAGGCAGGCGCCACACTGCTGCGCCACCCAGGAATCCCAGCATGTTACCTTCTTGTTCAAAATCACTGAGTCATTCCCTTCCTCTCCATTCCTCGTCATTCAGCTGACATTTAAGACCTGCTGTGTTTCAGGGCAAGAAATAAATGAGTTACAGAGTTCCCACTCTCCAGGGACAGGGATGTGGGCCAGGCCTTTGCCACCCCTAGAATCACTAGGGATAATAACACAGCTCGTCTATTCTCAGACCTGCACTCTCTACGCTTGCTCCTGCTTCATGATTGTTACCCTGCTAGTTCTGCTAGCAGGATTGTGTCAGTTCTTTATCCTGTCAATTCTTAGTTCACAAGTGCTCCGTGTTGCCTTTCTGATTAACTTGCCAAAGTCCATTGTCTGAATATAGCCTGTTTAACTGGCTAACTTTAGAAGTTCCTTTCCCTGTAGTCTTAGCTGGTGCCAAGAAAAACGCAAGTCCTTGCTGCTTTTCGCCAATGGCCTGCAAGCAGGCTTGCAGTCATTTTAATTCTAGCGTATGTTCCCTAGTCTTAGGACACTTTGGCATGCATGAATTGCTGTCTCTTCTTGGTTTTTGAGTGTTTTTGCAAACCTCTTAAGTCCCAGCATGTTCTGTTGAGTGCAAAAGCAGGGAGGTGATCAAAGGGCTAATGAGTGAATACAGATGAAGGCAAATGAAACCAGAGAGGATTCAATAAAATGGGTAGGAAGAGATCGGTGTTATCCAGATATATAAACTTCGCATCAGGAATTTGACATGGTGAAAATTCATCAGTCCTGTACCTGTGGAGCCTACCACAGGTCGTCTACAGGCTAGGAAAAGGAATTGGATGAAATGAAAACATGGTTCCCATGCTGTGTCAACCCCCACGTATCCACATTAACTGATGTTAATCCAGGAGAGGAGAGGACTGATGGTTTGCTAGAACAGAAGGCTTAGTCTGGTGACAGGCTGCCCTTAACACTTTTATGCAACCAGAGATGGTTCCTTGATTGTTTTAAGACTACCTCAACACATCAAAGTGAGTTCCTTTGGACACCTGCAGAGAACCTCCAAAGACGATGCTGTTCCTACTCTACCCAGGAATTGACAAGTGACCTTGAATTTGTAGGAGCCAGAGTAAAATATGTTGAAAGAGTCTGAAGATTTAACACTGCCCTGCTGGCAGAGGCTTTTATTTCCATCATTCTACAAATTAGAATTAGTGCAACTGTAATTTAGGATTAGGGACATACCTACAGCTGTGCATAAAGCACAAAGAGAATGATGGTCCATAGCATCATTCTTCATGCACAGAGAGAAGCTAATTCATTATGTGTAGTGGATGACTTAGGACTTAACTTTCTAGTGGCACCTGGTTGAGGAGGACTAGGAAATAATACGTTATTTGAGCCCCAATAAGGAGCTATTAATTCATTGAAGGATAAGTATCAGAAGTCCTTAGGAACAATGACCTAGCAGGAATTTGTATATTTAGGCAATTTAGGGGTATTCTTTAGGAAACAATTGGAAATACCCTAAATGTGTAACAATGAGAGAGGTTAAATAGAGTAGATCCAGTTGGTGAGTACATCCACTTGGTGAACTATTACGTAATCACTGTAAATAATGCTCTTTTTTTAAAGTTAAGGAGTCATAACTCTTCATTCTTCATAACTATCCTGTGCCAATTATGTAATCTTTAATACCTAAATCACAGAATTGTAAGAATAAGATGATGCCTATAAACCATTAAGCAACCTGGGAGGTACTCAGTAAATGGTTAATATATGTTTATTACTATGTATTATGTGAAAAACATGTTAAACTGTTTAAAACATAGGCTACAAAGCATACACAGAGTAATAGGAAAAGACAAAAGGGAAAACACCATAATGCTGTCCATTGCTGGTAAAAAATGAGTTAATATATACTGTACTTTGTTCATTGGCTATCTACTATCTTTTAATCATTAAAATGCCACATTTATCATGAAGATTGATTGTAGTTGTTGACACTTGCTTAGTATACATAATTATGCAGTTACTCTGATTTTAATTTTGTTTTCTTGAACAGCAAACTATTAAAATTGTCTTGGGAGTTACTTAAGAATATAGAGTTGAGGATGAAAAGTTTCTACTGTAAAAAGACTAAATCCTTTGCTGTTTTTAAGGGCCTTTGGTCTTGTTCTGTGATATACTTATGTGTAGATTAAAAACCATCATTACATTTTCACTGAGTTTCAGGAATCTTAAGTTTTAACTTAATTGGCCAAATCTCAGGTGAATAAATCATTAGTTACACATAAATTTCTTAGAAAAGTATAGGTGTCCTAGTTGTTTGGGGGGAGTACACGGAAATTGGAAGGCTACCAGGCCTGCAGCATGTTTAGTTGTAATGTTCTCAGGACTCTTTGCCAGATTGAGTGTACTTCAAAGTTGCCAGAGTATGCAAACAGATATAGAACCCGGTAGGGTCCTCAGCTTCTGCCTGGTCCTGAGATACAGAAAGTACTTTGTGTAGCTAACTTTTTTTTAAGTGCCGTGTGTTCCCTTTTAGTCATTTCTGACTTGTTCTGAAAATCAAATTCCTCACTTGGAAAGTTGTAAGATCCATATCTTTCCCCTTAAGTAACTGCTCAACTAGGTTTCCATTATTAATAATACTTCTCTCAATGGAGTATGTTTGGTTTTGGCCTGACACAGGAATATTAAGAAAGACTCATTCTTGTTCCTATCATGACCATTCCGAAGCACACAGGTTGAAGTCAGCCACTTTGGAATTGAATTGTTTTTGTTTACACTGTGTAAGTGTTTCCTACTAAGAGTTGAGAAAAGAGGAAAATACATTATCTTGTAAAATCAAATTAGGTAAGGTAACTGAATAATCAGATAAAAACATATTGGGCTATTGACAGAGAGTAGTGTGTACACCCTGTCTGCCTTGTTTTGGTCATGCAGCAATGAACCCTTCTCACCTTTGACTCCCCAGCATTACATGACAAGTTGTACTTGGAATAAATATTTTCCCATGGCTGTGCCTTTTTTTTTTTTTTTTTTTTAACTTCTGGGAAATCCTTTGCTCTTTGACAGTAATTAGATTAATTTCTTTGGTACTCATTGTGGGGAAATAGGACCATGAAAATAACAGAAGCTAGTTTTTACTACAGTCGTTTAGAGGGTAAATGAATATTTTTAACCCCCTTTTTTTTGTCAGAAATATTTCTGTAAGTATTTGAGGTTGACATGCTGTGATCTCAAAAGAAAAAAAAAAAAAACACCATAATTCTGTTCTTCTCTGTTTCCTTCTTCCTCCCGCAGCATACTGTTCCCTGTTGTCCACTATTGTCACACTGGTTGGCTCCTGTTCTGGTAGAATGGTGGGAAAAGGGCTTTAACCACCTACTGGTGATGATAATTTTAACCTTTTTTTTTTTTTTAAACATGGATACAAAATATATATGTGCACACCTACTGTATATAAATAATTGAAGTCAGAATTTCACTGAACATCTTTATTAAATGTAATGCATTGTTTTCCCTTCTGGTTTATGTTTTTAAAAAATTCTAGTTTCAATCTTCTAAATTGGTTTCATGGCCTTTCAAATTGGCTCCAGATTCTTCTTCAACATCCTCATCTGGCCAAGCGCCCACTGGACAGGCCAGAGGAGCACACTTTGGGGCCATTCTCTGCTCCCTCAGCATAGGCTTGGGTTTGGGCTACAGTTACTTCCAAGCCATAGGTCATGATATCCAGTCTCTGGGATTTCACAAACTAATACAATACCAGTACAAAAACTGGAGAACTGCACAGCAGTACCGGCTAAGAAGCTGAAAACAAAGTAGGAAGGACCTGATCTCTTCACTAATATACTGTCATCATTGTGAAGTAGCTGGTTTATAATGAGCTCTTTGTGCCTGGCACTGTTCTAGATGTACTTCATGAACTCATTGATTTAATCCTCACAAGAATCCTGAGGAGGAGAGTCTGTTCTCTGATTTAAGCCAAGCAACAGGCTTGGACATGGCTAGGAAGTAGGACGGGAATGCCCTGAAACAGACTTTGTTCACAACAGCACCATGAAAAAGCAGATAGGATCCAAGGGAAGAAATTCGATAGATGTTGGAAAATTGCCCTTTTTAAGAAAGTGGGGTCAGTGATGCTGACCCATACACATATAATCTGTTGTGGCATTTTCCCCATTTTGAGGACAAATGGACCAGATTATTAAACAGCATTGCTCCTAAAAAAATGCTTCCCTTCTTGTTTCTGTAGTTGACTAGCTCAGTTCTGTTCATCCCTGAGATGATGTTTTAAGCCACATTTAATATCTGTGTGAACATGTGATGGGACTGATACAAGAGGCACCCTCTGGGTTGATACTGGTATGTTGTTTCCTCTATGCATTTTGATGGATTTGAAATAGACTTGGGGTAAACAAAACACACACACACACACACACACACACACACGAAAGAGTTAATATTCCAAAGAAATACCTGAAGATTGGCTTCCCCAGTGATTACTTAATTGATTCATTGGCTGTTGAGCGCCTTCTGTATGTCAGGGATTGTGCTTGTTGCTGAGCATGCAGGAGGGGCATAAAATAGATGCTGCCTAGAAAAATTACATGTGTGATGCAAGTAGAGAGCACCAGAGAACTTAAGGCAGGGAGCTGACCTTGACTAGGGGGAACAAGATTCAAATGTTGCTAGAAAGTATTTTAAAAATGAAAATAGAATACTTTGATTTGAGGAGAGTTCATATGTTTGTGTATAAAAGCTCCAAGATGCTCAGGCAAGAATGGAATATATTTGTCACATGAACTTGCTAAAGATAGACTTTAATAGTCCTAAAAAGATGAGGGACCTATAAGGCTTTAAAGAAAGCAAGTTTCGTAGCTAAAAACTTAATAACTTGTTCTTTTTTCAGACCCCTTCAGCAGTAAACAAGATAAAACAGCTACTTAAAGATAAGCCTGAACACGTAAGTAATACTAATCAGATGAATATTCAATAAAAAATTGAAGGTGTATTTTCACAGTGAATTTATCTGATAAACAATGTGTTTTCATTGGTTAGAGATATTTATTTATTTATTTATTTTTAAAGATTGTATTTATTTATTTATTCATGAGAGAGAGAGAGAGAGAGAGGCAGAGACACAGGCAGAGGGAGAAGCAGGCTCCATGCAGGGAGCCTGATGCAGGACTCAATCCCGGGACTCCAGGATCATGCCCTGAGCCAATGTCAGGAACTAAACCACTGAGCCACCCAGGGATCCCCAGATTTTTACTTAAAAAGTAAAATACACTCATGATTTTCGAAATCCAAATAAAATATAACAGGATATTCAGTGAAAAAGATGTCATTTTGTGACCACAAGCTCTTGATTATCTTTCATTCTTCTAAGGGGCCACCTCTTAAGTGTCCTTCCTGAGACCATCTGTACATTTTTATCTGCCTACACCAGGGTTTCTCAGCCTCTGCACTGTTGATGTTTTGGGCTGCTAATTCTTTGTTGGAGGTGGATTGCAGAATGTTTAGTTGTATCTCTGGCCTCTGTGCGCACTAGATTCTGGTGCACCAACCCACTCCTTAGTTTTTACAACCAATCATAATTCCCTGAGGGGAACTACTGGCCTACTAGACCATGAGTGTTATGTTTGTATGTGTATCTTTTTTCCTACTTAGAGAAGAGCATTCCATACATGCTGTGGTTATGCTTTGTTTTTTGCCCCTAACCGTATAGCTTCAAGTTCTTTCCATATTATTACAGAAAGACCCACCTTCTTTTTTATGGCTGCATATATTCGTGTATTTTACTGAACAGGTTTTATTTATGTAGCCAGTCCCCCATATTAAAGGTCTTTGGGGTTGTTTACATCCAATGCTGCCACAAATCTCATTCAGCAAATATTTAGTGTCTGTAGTGTGCCAGGCCCTTTGTTTTAGAGGACTAAGCCTTAGGCCTGGTCTAGTGCACTATGTAGGCTGGCCTCCTAGACACAGAATTGTTAAATAAGGGTGTGTGTATCGCCTTCACCTTAGTGCATCATTACTTGCCTGTGGAATATTGTAAATTATATCCAGTACTAAACTCCTAATATTTAGTAATTAGACTAAGGAGTGGCTTCTAGGTTCTGTTGTACAACCTACACTACAATGTAATGTAGTTCTGGCACATTTCTCCTAAGAATTACTAAATGCTAAAATGTATCAATATGCCAACTCTGTTTGGATAAACTAATGAAAAGAGTATATATGTATTGACCAAGTGAAACACTGAGATCCAGTGAAACACTGGTTTAGCTGTGTAGATTTGAGGGATGACAAAGACATGAAAAGGATGAAGCAAACACTTCATTAGGGTGTCATTGATGGCATAAGCAGTCCCTTTCCCAAACCCCAGCTACTAAAGCTGTGTTTTCCAAATTGGATAAGTATCTGTTTTCATTCCTAATAGTTGGACTTCCTGCTTTCTTGGGTCTTCTTGTTTACAAAGATAAAAGCTAAGTCAAGTCAATACTTAAGACATGTGCTCTAGAATTTCAGCTAAACAGTTTATTCTTGATCGTGCCGAATATGTGACACATATTCTCAGCTTTCTCTGAGAATGAATAAAACCGCAGTTCTGTCTTCTTGTTCAGGACAGAAGAGACTACTGTGAGAATACTTCAGCTCATCAAAATTCCCAGGCTACTTAGCATTCTAACTCATGCTCTCACCAAATGCCTTTCCACTCCAGGATTGCTTTCCTGAAGCAAGTACACATTCCTGCTTTAAAGAGAATCAGAATCTGCTTGGTGAAATCGTACTTTTTATGATTGGGGGCTAATACTTTTACTGTAGTATACTTCAAAAAAGCAGATAGAATCCAAGAGTAGAAGTTCAGTAGATATTGTTAGAAAATCACATTAAAGTAGACATTGGTATTTTAAAAGTGAAGTTTGGTCATTTTTTAAACTTCTTACATCTGTGTTGGTTGCAGTCTTTTGATTTCTGGTACTCGAGAATGTTTGCACAGTTCTGCATTAAGATAAGGCCCTGTGTAGAGGCAGTATGATTACCAGGTGACAGCCTATGGACCTCAGTGAACCTAGCCATAGGGAAACTTCCTGAGAACATCTCATGCAATGAAGTGGAGCACAGATGTTTTTGAGGAAGTGAGAATTTGTTAAGTAGTCATTTCTGCCATTGGATACTTTTCTTTTTCCTTAAAAAAAATAATAATAATGATTATTCACATTTAGAATTAAAACTCTTCCTTTAAGGGGAGCCTGGCTGGGTCAATAGGCAGAGCATATAACTCTTGATCTCTGGGTTGTGAGTTCAAGCACCCACATTGGGCAGAACTAACTTTAAACAAAAAACCCTTCTTCCGTTAAAAATGTTATTCCCAGGGGATCCCTGGGTGGCGCAGCGGTTTAGCGCCTGCCTTTGGCCCAGGGCGCGATCCTGGAGACCCGGGATCGAATCCCACATCAGGCTCCCAGTGCATAGAGCCTGCTTCTCCCTCTGCCTGTGTCTCTGCTTCTCTCTCTCTCTCACTGTGTGCCTATCATAAATAAATAAAATAAAATAAAAAAATTTAAAACAAAAATGTTATTCCCAGCCTAAATGGCTATTAGCAAGGGTTAAGTAGTAGATACACATTGGTATAGTGGACTGCTAAGTCATTATATGCAAATGATAATTGTGATAGCTCATCACATGGAAAGATCATGTCTTAAGTGGCAAAAATAAAGCAGAGAATAAGGCTTATTCCTGCTATAATAAAACCTGTGTTTAGATTATGTGTACGTACGACAAGGACTGGAATTAAAAAGGAAAGAAACATATAAGATGTTTTCTGTGAGAGGACCCTGTGGGAGTTAGCACCATGACTGTATCAAGACTGGCTCGGTTACTTGGCGGCGTCCCGGCCACCAAATGGAGAGCAGCAAGATCACCCCTTCTGTGTCATTCTCTGAGGAAAATGAGTTCTCAAGGAGAAAAATCCAAACCTGTCAAACAGTTTCTTATGAGGCTAAAGTTACCAGAAGGTTGTTTTGATGCACCAGAAGATTCTAATTTAGAGAAAGACCCACTGACAAAATTTCCAGATGATATTAATCCTGTTACCAAAGAAAAAAGTAGACCCAGAGGCCCAGAACCTGCCCAATATGGGGATTGGGAATGAAAGGACACCGTATTGATTTTTAAGCCACATACTATTAACTTCATAACATGTTTCATGACAGCTGTCAAATCAAATATCTATATAGGTAAAATTTGGTGGCCTGAAAACAGTTTTGGTCTTTATATCCATCAAACATTAACAAAAAAAAAAAAAAAAAGACTTCCAAAAGATGATGTAGCAGTGATGGATATGCATCACTCAGATCTCCTCCTGGAGAAGGAGAGTTGACTGAAAACCCCAGCTGCTGCTCCATGGAATCCACCCCTGTGTTCCTGCTGAGGCTACACTTACTTCTCCCAGGCTGTTCCCAGTCAGTGAGTGAGTGTGGTGGAGGACATTGGCCCACCCAGTACTTTCTTCAGACTATACTGCTGTCTGAGACTCTTCCTACCCAATCCTCTTTTCCTTCTCTCTCTCCTTCACAGGTGTCAAACTCTGCCTACTTTTCCCTTTCATAATTCAAAATGTTTCCCCAGTAAATCTCTTTCCCGTTTAATACTATTTTATCATTTGTTCCTCAGAGAACTCAAAACAACATGGATGGTTTTATGAGAACAGCTTATAGAAGAACAACTTATAGATAGGTTTTCAGAAAATGCCACAAAGCTTGTGGCTTTTTCTAGTATAATCATAGTCTAACCATTTAAATTTTACATTGAGGATTTCTGGGAAATTACAGGTTGTACATTATATAGAGGGCTCATACCATGGAACCTTGTACAGATTAGGTGTTTTGGTGGAATTATGTCCAACATTTTTTCTTATTTTGATGTCCGTTGCTGTGACCTACTAGTAGTCAAAATGTACTGTACCTATTATTAAACTTGAAGAGCCAGCCTAAAGCCATATTCTGCAAATAAATAACAAATGTTCATTGGATGAATGGTATATATAGTTTAGTGACCAAACTTAGTTACAGTAATTGTTAATGATGTATCGGCAATTTTAATGATAATTTCAGGGCAGGACGGTAATTTTAGAAGTGCAGGATAAGAATGGCAGTGGAATGTTAACCAATACTGAATGATCACTTAGGAAGGAAAGTTTAAAAAAAAAAAAAAGGTGGTTGGTAGTGACTTTGGTTTTTTGGCATTTTTCCCCCTCTTTTGTTTTGGGTTTTTTTTTCTTTGCATGTAGTTGTTTTTATTCTTTTAGGATCCCTACTAGTGTCACAAGGATGTTTTTAAATAGTTAAAATTTTAAAATACTTGTTGAACCCCTTTCACTTATACTTCCTAAGGGAACATTTTATAGCTAGAAATCTAATATCTGTCTTTAAGCTTATGAAGAAACAAATAATGTCAAATAGCCAGGGTTTTTGTGAATGTTTAATACATACTACGTTAAAACTAAGTTTATATTTACACTGCTTTTTCAGGTAGGTCTCAAAGTTGGTGTCCGAACCAGGGGTTGTAATGGCCTTTCTTATACTCTAGAATATACAAAGACAAAAGGAGATTCTGATGAAGAAGTTGTTCAAGATGGTGAGTTTTAAGCATATATAGTGCTTGCTGTGAGGTAGGATGGTTTGATGGACTTTCATATATTAAGTGATTTATACACAGCAGCTAAGTGGGAACTGTACCATATTGTCCCCCTGATTTGCAGTTTTAAAGACCAAGGCATAGAGAGACAAAATAACTTGACTAAGGTCACTCAGCTAGTTCGGTGCCCTAGTGAAAAGTTGAACATAATCAAGTTCACTGCAGAGGCTGTGCTCTTACTATTTGTTTGCTGATTTTAATTACAAAAGATTCTCATTGTGTGCAGAAAGGTTTTAAAACGCTAGAACTTCGGACTGACCATCCATTTTTGTGTGAAGCAGCATTTGACATCTATACCAAATAAGTAATGTCATCTCATGCTTTTTTGAGCAATCTGTATTTTTAATTTTTATTAAAAATGTCAAAAAATAAATAAAAATAAAAATGTCAGTGCTTTAATAATATCTTGCCCCCAACCCCTGCCCTACAATCTATTAAAACCTATTTAAAACAAAATAATACCGCAGCCTCGGGGGGAACTTCAGGTGTGCACAGGTTTTATGGTGGTGGCTCTGTATCAGAGCTGTGCTGTTAGCTAGCTTTTATGTTCTTACCATTCATTTCATTAAACTGAAGTTAGTAACCAATAATGACATTTTTGTTAATATGTTGTTTTTTAAATCACTTACATGAAATACCTTAAATAGTAAATTTTTCACTTTTCAGAATACAAGCTAATAATCCTGTATAGTTTATATTTGAGTAATTACCTAGTTTCTTTATAAGGAAGAAAGCTTTCTTAAGCTGATTATATTTGTGAATTTACTAACCTCTGCCTGTATAATTCTAGGGAGTTACATTATTGCCAGTTTTCTGGCCCATAAGCAGAACAAAACAGCCATGTTGCACTGATTGGCCTTCTGACACCAGCCCAGTATATCACAGTTCTTGTGTGTCTCTAGGCTTGCCAGTGTGTCATGCATATGGCTGTCATTACAGGCTTTTCATGCATTTATTGACTCTGTCTTTACAGAAATCTTACTGAGAACATACACATTTCTGTCATGTTGCAAATTTGAAAATGAGTGAAGTATAGTGAAAAGCAAATTCTAGTTTTGCATAGAATTGTCATGGAATTTGCTTCTATACAACTGTCTAGCCTAATACTGTGTTTGATATAGATTATTTGGTGGAAAAGAAGGGACAGACAGGAAAACTGAGCACTGATCTCTTAAAGGAAATAATGAGACAGATTCAGAAGCTTCCTGTTTGACTTTTGCCAGTGGTTACTATTTAAAAAGTTCACTTGTACTTTGAATCAGCAGGTTCCATAGACCTGCAGGCTTTATGTGACACATGTTTTCTTCTCCCCAAGGAGTCAGAGTGTTCATCGAAAAGAAAGCACAGCTAACACTTTTAGGAACAGAAATGGACTATGTTGAAGATAAATTATCCAGTGAGTTTGTTTTCAATAACCCAAACATCAAAGGAACGTGTGGCTGTGGAGAAAGCTTTAATATTTGACTACTCTGGCTGTAAGCTCCAGGAAAACTCATGGAAGTCCTTGGGCTTACTGAAGAAATCATGTGACTGTCACGTGCTTAAAGTTTATAATGTATGACTGCCTTATGAGGAAAATAAAATGATGCATTTTGAAAGTGAAGCCAGTGTGTTAGATTCCAGAAGAAGCGGTATTTGTATTCATTTTAGTGGGCAGAAAATGAGAATCCATTGCTCTCTTTGGGTCATTTCCTGATCTGTAAAGAAAAAAAAAAAATCCTACCCTGCACTTAATTGTCTTGCATCCTTTCTATTAGAACCAGTTTCATGAAAGCTGCCTTCCTGGAAGGATTTCAGGAAACATATTTTTAATACATGTGCACTCCATAGCTTGCTGTTGAATGGCGTGAATGTGTTTTCCTGTAAAATTCAGAGGCAGAGGATCCTGGCTGCTGGCGTGACATGGAAGTGCACGGGTTTTCTACCCAGCCTTGGCATGGCATTTCTACATCTTTGTTCAAAATTTCATTGTCAGATGCCTCATTTGCTTTACCCTTTAGCAGCACCAGCCTGTAGATGAAAGTATCGAACAAAGATTTCCTTGAACTGCAGTGCAGAACAGTTCTGAGCGATGGCATCAAAAGGTAAGAAATACTTCACCCGCTGTTTTTAATCCATTTCTTTTGCCGCCCAAAATGTCCCCTCAAAGGTGGAATCTCAAGCTGGCTTAGATCCTTTTGGTTGAAAGGTGTCTTAAAAGCCATCCAGCGCACCCCCTCAATTCTATACCTGGGGAAGCAACACCCAAGGAAGCTGAAGGACTTTTGTCCACCTTCATATTGTGGTCTAGGTGTAGCAGCAAAGTTGGGACTACTCTCATCTCCCCTTCCATTAGGGGACACTAGCTCTGCAGTCAGAGGTGGTCGGTGGAGGTTAGTGTGTGGTCTGGCTTCTTTATCTGGTTGGCATTTTGATAAGATTTCTTTGTAATTTGATGAAGATCATATTTAGTTTATTTTGAGTGAGAAAAATCTTCTTTTAAAACTCACTTATTATGTGAATTACCATCTTGTTTCTTTACAACTTTAAAACAGTGGTTTGTACTAACAGAGAAGACATTTGTAGCAGCCCAGAAATACTCGTTTTGAATATAGTAGTGATTTTGAAGCAGAACGTGAGGATCTTTTCTTAAAATTCCCAGTACATGTATACCTTCTGGATTTCAAGTTCAATGACTGAAATTCTTAACATTTTTATCAACAATCTCTCTTTGACAGCATTTTTTTCTGTCATTTAGTTATTGATTTTTCCTGGGTTTGGCATAATAAGCATTCTATGAAGTGACACATAAGCTTTTTTGAAAGCTAACTGATTCTCCTGAAGTGAAGTAGCTGTCATATTTATGTTCATCATATTTACTGAAGTACCTAGCACAAAATGCACCAAAACCTAGAGCAGTTGCTATATGTAAATGCTCCTAAGTTCGTATTGTTAATATAATTGTCAATACACTTCTAAATTGTGCAATACTGTATGTATGTAGAGATTGAGTTGTGAATAAAAAATAATGTGGCCTCTTTGTGATCATAAAATTGCCTTTTCTTTATAAGGAAGAACGGTTTGGGAATAGTAGCTATTCAAGTTACTAATGAATGGTGGCTATCTTTCTCTCACCAGTCTTGTCACTAACAGAATTTTCTCTGCCAGATTCTGCTGAGTCTAGTCTTTTTGCTGCTTCGTTCACCATGCAGCTCTTTGGCAGAACCATTTTGGATCACTCTTGGCCCCAGAGACCTCAGCATTCCCTTCCTTCTTCAGTCTTCAGCTTTGCTTCTTCCATGTTTCACCCAGATCCCTTCTTTACATTCTCGTGGCATTCTTCCTACCTGAAATGCTGTTTCCAAATCTGTCCTCCAACCTTTATGTTCATATTCAAAAAGGTTCTTAACAGTTCACCTCGGTATATTTGCAAGTACCTGCTATCCACTAGCCCTGAGGTTTCACAGGTGACCGGAGACACTACCCAACCTGAGAGATCTTAGAATTGACAAATGAGATGCCAATGAAGAGAACACTGTAAGTGTTGTAATAGGTAAACTTTATTGCATACTTGCTATATGCCAGGAACTGTTCTAATACAGTCTTCACAATAATCCGGTGAAGTATGACTGCTTTCATTTCATAGGTGAGAAGTTAAAGGACAACATGAATAAAATAGTGACCTAAGTAACACAGAAAGCGGCCAGGTCAGAGTGACAGCCCACACCATCTGACACCAGCCTGTGCTCCTAGCAGTTGGGCCTTGCCACATGTTATAAGAACCAAGATGGAGGCACTTTCTAAGAAGTTACTTACAGGTTATGGCACCTAGACCAAGTTTTAAAAGCCATAAGAGACTTCGGGAAGAGGGAAGAGAATGGATAAAACTAAAGAGGATTGAGAACATGCAGGAAGCTAAGCACTCAAGTTAAGCAGGAAGAATGTGAAGGATAGAAGGGGCAAAGGACAGAACTTGAGGCTTTCACTGGCTGCTGCAGGTGCAGGGAGCCCCTCAGTCTTTACCAGGGTACCAGCAAAACATCTACATTCAGACGTATCAGGCTGGCTGCCTGTGGGAAAGCTGGTGGGAGTGGGGGGCAGGAGGAAGAACTGCAGAACCCCAAGTTGGGCCTGAGGGGGGACATGTGAGACTTTGGAGGTGCCGTTGGCAACAGTCCATTGAACAGACCGACCTCAGCGGGGCCATGGTATTGTGGCCCCTGGCTAACAACATTTGATTGGATTTTGTTTTGTTTTGTTTTTTGTCTCTTGCACAATATTGAATGATTTTTGAAGACAGGAGTTTTATCATTTCTTTGGTATTCATTCAACACAAGGCATGTTGTAATTATTTTTGACAAAAAGACTCTCCACCAGCCATGTCCTATTCTCTCTCATTTCAGCCAAGCTCTACTTCAAACCCCAGGTGTCCTATGAGAGGTCACTTGATAAGTGCCCCACATCAGCTGCTTTGGTGGGAGCTTCACACAGAGACAGAGGTGATGGTATTTTAGTTAGAAGAGTGTGCTTAGAAGCTAAAATATACCAGGAAGGATTTCAAGAGACAGAGGCTGCAGTGCTGTTCTAGTGTCTCCCTGTTCCTCTGCCTCTGCCCCACAAGAATGATTTTCTCTTTGGGAAAGAGGAAAGTAGGGAGGGGGTTGGGAAAATCTCTGCAAGATCAGACATCCCTAAGATTTCCAGTCCTTCCTAGGTTTCATTCATCAGGAAATACCTTTAAGAAACAGCCTTTCTTGTCTCGTTTTGATGCCTGAGAGACCAGGAAATGCGAGTCTGTGATGTTAGGCTGTATGGTCATTCCCATGTCATTGAACAGCTGTGAGACCCTTGTAGCCTGCAGAGCTCTTTATAGGTGTCCAGTTTGTGCCTTGGTGCAGATGTGACATGGGGCCCTGAGACCGCATCAACTCGAGGGTGAATACAAACGTAACTGGCCTGATGCGGGGGTTCAGTTCAGCAGTTGGTGAGATGCTAGTGTGCAAAGCTATAAGGTCTGGAGGCAGATGGACCTGGATGTGAGTCATGGGCTCTTTTGTTTTGAAGCCTTGACCTGGCACCAGTTAGGGACTTTCTCTGAGCCTATTGCCCCTTCTGTAGAACAGTCTCAGAATTTGGGGAAATTTGATGAGCTTACTGCGTATAAATTAGCATCCACCTTGGAGGTGACTCTCAGTATGTTGTAGTATTAGTCTTTTCACCCGTGATTATCAGTCAAAGCAAGAGTTTAGGGAAAGGAGCGTTTACATACAATTAGGGAATTAAAATCTGGGTAAGATTTACTTATTTCTTATGTGACCACAACAACTTGTTCGAAAAGAACTACATATATAATCATATAGAGAAATTGTATTCTCTTTGTAGCTGATTGGCTGTTAAGAGAATACCCATGTCAGGGCGCCTGAGTGGCTTGCTCAGTTAAGGGTCTGCCTTCAACTCAGGTCATGATCTCAGGGTCCTAGGATCAAAACCTGCATCTGGCTCCCTGCTCAGTGAGGAGCCTGCTGTTCCCCCTGTCTGGGTGTGCTCTTCCCACCCTTTAAACCCCCCCCCCCAAAAAAAAATCCCACGTAGACAGATGTGTCTTAGAGGAGAAGTAGCTGAACCTCCACCTTGGGCTGGGGGGAGGAGCCACACCAGGCCTCAGGCAGAGAGCCAGGCTGAGGGCCGACCTCCCATCTCCTTCTGCAATGCAGAGCCCAAGTCAAAGGCTAAGTCACAGTGAGATATGTGATGTCACGTGTCTCCCTCGCTGCCCACCAAAACATTTAATAAAGGCTAGTGCTCATTAATGGCATAGAACAAAACCTTCCCCAAGGCAGGGGCTCTGTACCAGCGGTAGCCCCCAACGTAAAACTCCCCTATATCTTTGATAGGCCATGGATTGCATCATGGATTTACTTCCGTGAATGAGTAATACCTACTGTTCACTATAAAGTACATGTGTAGGGGCACATGGCTGGCTCAGAAGACCATGCAACTCTTGATCAGAGGGTCGTGAGTTCAAGCCCCACATTGGGTGTAGAAATTACTTAAACTTGGTATGTTTGTTCTCCATGGAGTTCAGGTCTTGAAGCAGTCCTCACACTTCAAATCTTAAATAAATCTGGGTATCTTGTTAATAATGCAGACCTGATGCCAAAGGTCTGGGAGGCCTGGGGTTCTGCACGCTGAGCCCAGAGTCTTCTTGAAGAGACCCAAGTTTGACATCTCAAGGAGGAGAAGTCTTACATGGCCCTTCTTTTCTCTGAGCAGCCACATAAGGTGGCACAGGGTCTTGCCTTCCTCAGGAAATATGTCCTGTAAATCGCACATAACCGAATTTACCATTTAAACCACTTCTAAGGGTGCAGTTCAGTGGCCTAAAGTATCTTCACGTTGCTGCACAACCGTCACCATCCATCTCTAAAGCTTTTTCATCTTCCCAAACCGAAACTCTGTACCCACTAAATTCCTTCCTCCCCACTGCCAGGCCCTGGTAACCACTGTCCTACTCTGTCTCTGGACTTGTCATTCCAGGCACCTCATAGCCCTGCAGTCCATATAGCATTTGTCCTGTGTCTCATTAGGGGACACATTTTTAATCTGCATCAGCAGGAGACGAGGCCTAAACAATGACTACTGTTGCTCTTTAACCCACACTGATGGAGTCCTCAGTTTTTCAGCTATGAAATTGTCCTTTGATGATGTGACTGCTGATGGTTATTTATGAACAATGGAGGGTAGTTTTAAGAATCAGAAGGGGAAAAAGGCATCAAAAGATTGTACTCAACTGACCCAGATGAAATTCTTCATGAGGACCCTGGGGAGAAACATCAGGTAAAATGAAGTTAAAGATATAGCATGACCCTCACTCTTGTCAGTTAACAAAGTCTAATGACATCACTTGGTGCTACAGCAGATCTCTTCCTCCTCATTTTCTTTCCCATCAGCCCCATGCCACTGCGGGCCAGCCCATGTGGGCAGGTGTAGAATGCAGTCTGGCTCCTAGTAACTGCCTCAATTTCTCTTCTGCGTCCTGTCCATATCTATAAAAGGAAAAACTTGGCAATTCAGCTATCTAATGTTCACCTTTTAAAATGTCCATCCACCTTCCACCCATTACCCTCATGTAGGAAGATAATCCCCTGACCCTTTGTGTCACACAGCTGTGTATGTGACCTTGGGGAGGTCCATATGTCACAATGCATAGTTATGAAGCATTAGCATTGTCAGATGCCAGGCTGGCCTAGGGGTTGCCAGATTAAGGAGACCCAGCTGTGCCCCCAGACCCACAGGTTCATGAACGAGATGGCTCCATAAGCATAAAGCAAGTGGTAGGTGCTGCCACTGACCCACTGCTAGGGCATAATGAGAGAAGAGAAGAGGAGAAATGAAGCCAGCCTGGGTGCTGCCAGGAGAGGAGGGGTGAGGTGGGCTGTGGAGAGAGAGGAGGGGCTGGAGAGTTGAAGTGGTGCCTGGGTTCCTGTCTACAAATCAGGGTTGGGAAACTGACCAAGAAGGTCACAGGAAACCACCCCATCTTCCCTCAGGGTCTCTCATCAGCAGCCTGCCTTCCCCACTGTTCCCACCTGCCCTCAGCCCAGAGAGTGTACAGCCTTGGTAGAGGGGACAGTCTGAAAGCGGGAGACCAAAAAGTAGTGGAGAGCTTCCTCTCCCGGTTTCCAGACCCAGCCTGTGTAGACAAGCTGTCTCGGGCCCAAACTGAAGGGTGGGAATAAATGAACTCTTCAAACTGGCTTCCATCCAAAGCTGTCAAGTATTACTTCGTCCCCCTTACCCAAGCAGTCCTGTCGGTCCTCAAGGCCATTGTCCATCCAACCAATGCCCTGAGCAGGTGTCCTTCCCTGGGACCATCTACAGAGAACAGTGTCGGTGCACGGCTGTTCCTTCGGATGGAATCACACTGTTCAGTCCATCTCAAGTCCTACTGCAGCTGCTTCCCACCTCGGGTGTCTTCCTACTCTTTCCCTTCCATACATGTTACCTTACATTTCAGGTGATGGGGCACCCACAAGCACACCATGGTGTGGGCAGCAGGCAGAGCGAAGCCTGGTGACTCAGCTGGTGCTTCTGGACTGGCCTAGGATCCTGTTCAGTATATTAGCCAGTTCCTGGAGAAGAGGTGGGGAAGTAAGCCCACTGTATGCAGCCACACAGCTTGACTTTCGTATCAAAGGAAGTGGGGCAGAAAAGGTTTAAGGTACGGAGATGGGTGGGCACAGTTGGAATTGGCCACGGGAAACCCCAAGGACATCTGTTCTTTTAGGTTGCTAAGCAGAACAGTACCCCTCTTTGGTTTCTATCTCTGGGAGTCTGGCTCCTTCCTCTTGGGATTCCATCCTATAGGTCAAGTGCTGCTGCCGCCACCAAGCAAACCAGAGTCAAGCAGAGATCTTCCCTGGAGTCTACACCAGGTACTTATTCCCATTTCTAAAAATACTGGCATCTTCCACTGTCCTCTCCTGAGGCCCCTGAGCTGACCCCACGTCCCCCACCCTGAGAGCCTGTGACACGGCAAACCGAACTGTTGACATCACCACAAGATGTTCATTACCACTTTCTACCGGGCTCAGGAAGGATGGGGGCTGGTGCGTTTGGAGAGGCCTCCAAGGAAAGCCCCTCTTTCCACTCAGATCTGTCTTGCTGGTTTGTTTCATGCTTGCTTTTTATGAGACCATAGGGCTCCAGCTGCTTCATTAGCAAGTGTTTATGGAGCCCTTCCTTGCTGTCGTGATGCCTTGTGCTGTGGAGAACACAAAGATGTCTCCCCCCCCCCCCAGAGGTGACCTGCAGGAGGAGGGGAGCAGGGAGAAGGAGGATCAGCATAGTAGTAGCAGCTAGTGGTGGTAGCAGGATTAAGCCCGTAGCACTTGTGAGAACACATACATCATGGCCAGAACCAGGCTGCCTTGCAAACACTGCAGGAGTTAGCGTGCTGAATCCTCATGCAGTTCTAGGTAGTTGACATCATACTTATCAGGCCTATTTTACATACATGTATACTGAGTACTGAGGTCATGGCTAGCAATAAAGGCCATGATTCTCTTAGCCACTGTTCAGCCGGGGGAGGTAAGACCAGTACAACTCAACAAGGTGGAAAACAATGCCATTGAAGAGATGTGTGCTCTTGGCTACAGACCTTTTCTCTCTCTGAGGTGCTCAATCTGATGGATCCACAGTTCCAATTCTGATTGTGTTAACAATCAATAATAGCACATTGTGTTCTTTAATCAATTGTGTTATATGCAATTTATCCGACAACCCTAGCAGAAGGTCTAATAATTGAGCACCTACACTGTGCCAGCCACTATGCTGTACAAGTGGATCGCATGGGCAGATGGAGTCCAAGGCTGAGGAATCCAGGGAAAGGAACCAGGAAAGCCCAGTAGGCATTTTGGTGAGCAATCATGCAGGAGCTAACAAAGTCCGGATGAATCCTCAGGTCCTTGTGGGCTCTCACCTACTTCCCAAGGAGCCCTCTTTTCACTTAGACTAGCATTCCCAAAGCGTGAAAACCCATAACCTCTCCAGGGGGCCACAGGCATCTGGGTGTCAGAGGAAAAAGCAATGACACGGTGGTAGTCACACATCTTCAATTGGAAATGTAAGATTATAGTGACTTCAGCAAAACCCTGTTTTGTTCTCCACAACCATTCCATATATTTTTTTTACCATTCCATATTTAAATGTTGAGCATTTTCCATAAGGACAGCACCAATCAGATTGTCTTAAGTAACATTCAGTTGACAAGGTACATCCTGGTTAATGAATTTTTCACACCATAGGCTGGCTTATGGGTATCAAATTTGCAATCTTTATTATTGCTATTGGGTTATATTTTACTCCATTTCATTTTTTAAAAAAGGTATTTATTACTGGCCCCAAAGTGTTCACTGAAGCATAAAATAGTGATGGAAACAGTATATATATATTTATATATATATCCTACAAATCAGAAAAATCTTTTGAATACCCAAGGTAACTATGAGTCCAGAATGATGTAGAATGTCAAGATTTATTAAACAAATCTGCGGTGTGATTTTACACAAAGCAGCTGAAAATTACAGCTTCATAGGAGATACTTCTAGGTCTCAGCGTCATGAGTTCAAGCCCCACAGTGGGTCTAGAGCTTACCTGGAAACTTAAAAGGGGGTGCCACAATGAATATCTAAAAACTGAATTTAATTAGATTGGGCCTTCCACTTGCTCAGGTCTTTGCCAGAAGAAAACCCGGTCAGGTGGTAAACCAAAGCTTTCGAGTTCTTCAATAATAAAAGGTGGTGATGGTACGGTACTTTTCCGGAAGAAGTACAAAAAATTGCTTTCTGGGACAAGATGATTCATGGCTTGAACACAGTAAAGACAAAAATGGCCAAGCTATTATTCAAAACCTTAACTTAATGAAGCAAAGATAGCCACATGTTACATTACCATTATAATCCTGTCTACAGAGTTACATATGTTCTGTTCTGTGATAAATAAAATGAGCTAGTGGTCAAATAGTGTCATCAAAGATCTTATTTTTTAGAGATTTTAAAAATTTATTTTACAGTGTGTATATGAACCGGGGGTAGGGGGCAGAAGTAGAGGGAGAGAGAATCTCAAGCCGACTCTGAGCATGGAGCCCAACAGAACTCGAGATCGTGACCTGGGCCACAACCAAAAGTCGGACACTTAATCAACCGCCCCTTTAGAGATTTTTTTAGTTTATTTACAGAAGTAATCTCCACACCTTATGTGGGGCTGAAACTCACAACCCTGAGATGAAGAGTCTCATGCTCTTCCACCTGAGCCCACCAGGCACCCTATCAAAGATCTTACTGTACAACTATTAATTATATACAATATGACAAAAGCATTTCCAGTTGCAGACATGAGCTGGTCATCAGCTATTGATGTATGTGCTGTGTGTAAACATGAGGCAGAAAACCACAGTGATGCTTTGTTTTGTGTCACTGAACATGCAGTTCACGGAGGAGTGAGTTGTAGATGGAAAAAGATATCCAGGTCTTCTACTGCAGGAGCAGTGAGAGCAGTGGAGGAGGGCTATTGCTCCAGGAAGAAGGACCTCTCTGCCCACTCACACACCATCTCACTCCCAGGGAGCTACATTTTGAGTATGATGCCATTTGGACAGATACCATGAACATGGCACACAGTCAAGTTGTGGTCACTGCATGTCTACCCTGCCCTATAAAGAACTGAGGTCAGAGGGAGATCACTGATGTACGTTAAGATGATAGATTGAAACCTCTGAGTAATTTCATGCCTCGACTTTGGAGCAAAACTATAACACAAGGGTGTTAAAAAGACATCACACAAAGATGAAATCTGGAGATACTAACATCAGTAACATTTAGGAAGGTAGATGGAGGAGGGGTTACTAATGGTTCAGGAAACTGGAGGAAATGGAAAACTAGATGGCCCTATTATGCCCCCGAATTCTCAAAAGCCTCCACTGCAAGCAACATTGGCTCTTCCTGGAGCTAAGAGCCATGGGAAAGGTGGACCAAGAAGATGGTTACTGATGGGGATCTCTAGGTGGCCCAGCAGTTTAGCGCCTGCCTTTGGCCCAGGGCGTGATCCTGGAGTTCCAGGATCGAATCTCACATTGGGCTCCCTGCATGGGGCCTGCTTCTCCCTCTGCCTGTCTCTCTGCCTCTCTCTCTGTGTGTGTCTCTCATGAATAAATAAATAAAATATTTTTTAAAAAAAGATGGTTACTGAGCACTGTATGAGAAGGTGGACCCCTGGATGCCCTCCCCCTCTTCATTGCCTCTGCCTATAGCCTAAAGAATTTCTCCAAGGAAAGGCTAACACAGGGCCTGCAGACTGGGAGAACCAGGCCCAGTAGAGTACTAGTATTGTACTGGAAAACAACCAACAGTCACCTGAACAAAACATGGGATTTTGCGAACATATGGTAAGCGCCGGACACAAGGATTCCCAGCCCCACTCCTGCTCTGCATTTATCCTGTCACCGGGAGATACTTAACACCCTCCAGACCAGGGCATGGGGAATCTTACCAGCCCAGGAAAGGCCTAAAGATGCTCACATCAGAGGGATCCCTGGGTGGCTCAGCGGTTTAGCATCTGCCTTTGGCCCAGGGTGTGATCCTGGAGTTCCAGGATCAAGCCCCACATCGGGCTCCCTGCATGGAGCCTGCTTCTCCCTCTGCCTGTGTCTCTGCCTCTCTGTCTCTCATGAAGAAATGAAATCTTTAAAAAAAAAAAAAAAAAAACTCACATCACAAGATCTCCCCTAACTGGTCCACCCAAAACCTACAAGCTCCATTAGTGTGCATAGAGTTTCCTGCCAGCTTTTTTGCACCCCATTCGTATTCATGAGCAGACAACCACAGCTCACCAGACATCTGAGGACTACCCCTATCATGGAAGTTAGAGGCCAAAACAGGAGAGACAGACTATCTTGAGAGAAGACCGCTTCAAAAGACCAACTATAGGGGGCGCCTGCATGGCTCAGTCAGTTGGGAGTCTGATTCTTGATTTTGGCTCAGGTCAAGATCTCAGGGTCCTGGGATCGGTCCTTCATCAGGCTCCATGCTTAGTGCAGAGTCTGCTTCTCCCTCTGCCCCTCCCCCTGCTCATACTTTCTCAAACAAAATTTTTTTTAAAGATTTTATTTACTCATTCATGAGAGAGAGAGGCAGAGACAGAGGCAGAGGAAGAAGCAGGCCCCATGCAGGGAGCCTGACATGGGACTCGATCCCAGGACTCCAGGATCACGCTCTGCGCTGAAGGCGGCGCTAAACCGATGAGCCACCAGGGCTGCCCTCAAATAAATAAATCTTAAAAAAAAAAAAGACCAACCATGGTGTCTTCAGAGGCATGAAATGTTGCATCAATTAGCAAGAAAGAAGGACGTGGAAAGAACACTCTGAACACAAGCAGCTCTTACAAACCCAAGTGCTTGCATGGTCACAAAACAGAAGGGTTGGAAGATAAAGTAGAGGGAGAGACTCAAAAAGCAGAAGGTAAAGACAACCAGATAAAAAGCCAGAGAGAAAAGATGAACAGTGGGTATTTATTGTACCCCAAATGGAAGTTCTGTGTTGACCTACTCCTGGAATTTGGAGGTTGGCCATTGTAAACAAACTGCAGAAAACACAAAAATTGAAGTGATGCCCTACCCTTGCTGGCTTCCCGCTCCAGCCCACTCTGTAGTCCTACCTGATGCCCCAACAGGGGTGAACTCCACGTTAGCCAAGATACAGTCACAGTGCCACCTCTGACTCCCCCAAAGAGACCTGTGAAACTCACAGGGACACAGAGGTCAGACAAGGGCCTGGGTGTCCTTGCAGGTTGTTTTCCACTTGCGCCTGTGTGGGACTGGGCAACAGCATTTTCTCACTCATAGTTGCCATTCTTTTTAAAAAGGAAATCATTTTCCACC